AGAACGGCCTTCCAAGTGGTAAATCGATGGTCCGAATCCTACCGTTTTTCATTATCGGAACTTCGTGAAAAGGATAAAGTAAATTAAATAACCTGAACCGTTGAGCACAAGATGTTGTAGTGTTGTGGTCAAGACGTTAGTCTCAGGTGTCGGCAGGCAACGGTTCGAATCTCGTTTTAGATGAAAATTTTCGTTATTGATCAAACATGGTAAGGTCATGGTGAATAAGTTGGTGTAGGCATCCAACAATCACCAGTTAGCCTTGTGGTAAAGCCGTGGACTATCAAGTACAAGATCGTTGTATCAGGAACAGTATGGGACGTTTCTCATGGCGGTGGAAAGCTAAAAGAAAAAAAGGAAGAAAAAAAAGAAAAAAATGGTAGGCATGTTGCTCGGGGGAGGTTTGTACTCTGTTAATCTTTGCCAATCAAAGTTAATCTTTAGGGAAATCAGGGGATAGGTAGGGTGAATGAGGGGTATATGAGTACAAAAAGACTTAGTAATTGGGAGGCATCGGGAGGCATCGGCTCCCGGGGCAAGGAAAAGGGTATAGGTGAGAAGGCAGCATATAAAATGTTTAAGTCTTTTTGTACTCATTTAAACCTCTTTACCCCTATTTATCCTCCTATTTACTCCTATCTATCCCTACTTTTTCCTATCCTCACATACCCCCAACTATCCCCTAACACAATTAAATGTTTGAAGAAAGCTTGCTTTGAAAGTCAGGAAAGCCGGGGGAAAGAGAACCCCCCTCAGTCTACTCCTCGCCCAAGGCGAGGGCATATTCGCCCTCTCGCTCTACTCCTCTCACACCCACAAATTCTCACTTTATTACCTTGTTCTTTTTCGGCTTATCCAGGGCTTGAACCATCGACTGTATACTTGGCAGAGCATCGTCTTCACCATTACACCACCAGTTCTTGTGGTGTAAGCCTAGAGTTTCTTATTTTACTTAATCCTTTTTGGAAGAATCTTTGATGGAATAGAAGAAAAAAAAACATTCCCATCTGCGACTCGAACCTCCGCCTTTAAACTCGGAGAGCACTGCCTTTACCAGTAGACCGCACGATCTTGCGCTGAAATGCTACACTTTTTTATATTACTGAATACGTTATGGGTAGGATCTCAAATGAAATAACAATTTAAAGGAGCTCTTTTTAAGGTTCATGATTTCTAAAACGCACACAACTGTATCTTATTCGTAGTTTGTAAGTTGTAACCTAATATTAGACACTTGTGTTGTCGCTAAAATATCACATACAGTCCTTAAAGCACTATCTTTCAATAAGTTAGTCATATGCGGCCCAAGTGAAGCTAATGGTTACGGTGCGATTGTTTTGTATTTTTAATGAAGTGAAATCAAAGTAAAGTAAAAGAAGTAATAATGCATTTCAAAATAGGTTTAAAAGAAAAAAACTACAAGAATTAAGAATAGCCGAATGGATATTAGGGCGGATTCATATTAGGAACTCATCTTAGACGGGAAAGTTGATAGTAAAAACCTGTCTGAATATGAATTAGGCTGTGGATAAATTATACGTATGATGGGTCGGGTAATGTGTAATCATTACGGTAATAATTTTGTTTAATTTCCTAGTTAGCCTTGTTCCATCCTTGACCGTGCTTATATATATCAGAAACTCGTCTCATTTTTCCGTCTAAATATGAATTTAAGACGAGTTTCTCTTCCAGACGGGATTCCCGATGCCTCGTAGTCGTATTCTCGAAGATTACATCTGAAATCGCAAATAAATGAAGCAAATATCGAGTTAAACAGACATTGACTATTTATTTTCAGCCTTTGCTGTATAAAGAGTCGAAATACTGGCTGGTCTAGCAGGTTCATCGAATATAAAATACGCTAAGAAAAAGATCAGTTCAAAAGCACAATTTATGCAGTTAACTGCGATAACAAACAAACAAACAGCAGCTCAACTATATTACGGCAACGATTCATACTGACTATTTCATTTAAACGTTCTTCGAAGAAAGGCTTCGTTTGCTTGAAAGGCTTCAATCCGTAATCTACTGAGGAGAGTACGAGGCGCATGTTTGTTGCCTTATGACTACATTTTTAACCGAATTCATATTACAGACGGGAAACTCGTCTTAGAGGGGAGACTCGCCGAAGACGGGAAACTCGTCTGATGTGAATCACAGACGCGTTTCTCTTCTGAATTTTCCTGTCTAAACAGACGGGTAAGTTGGACGGGAACCCGTCAGGAAGAGAAACTCGTCCTTAATTACCGTAATTATTACCAATTACTCGAACCATCATACGTATAAATTCATCCCAATTCATATTTAGACGGTTTTTACCATCAACTTTCCCGTCTAGGATGAGTTTCCCGTCCCTAATATGAATTCGGCTACTCTTAATTCTTGAACCTTTTTTCTTTTAAACCTATTCTGCATGAAATGCATTGTTAATTCTTAAACTTTACCTTGAATTCACTTGAATCACTTCATTAAAAATACAAAACAATTGCACCATAACCATTAGCTGCACTTCGGCCGCATATAACTAACTTATTGGAAAAATAGCGCTTTAAGGCACTGCATACCTGCATGTGTTATTATAGCGACATTTAAGTTACAAGCTACGCGTAAAGTACAATTGTGTGCGTTTTAGACTAGAAAAAAATCTTGAACATTAAAGGAACTCATTTAAATTGTCAAGTTTCATTTAAGATACTACCCAAAAGGTATTCAGCAAAATAAAAAAGTGTAGCCTTTCAGCGCAAGTTCGTACGGTCTACTGGTGAAGGCAGCGCTCTACGGCAGTGCTCTCAGGATAAAGTAAAATGAAAAACAGTAGGCTTTCACCACAAGAACTGGTGGTGTAGTGGTTAAGATGATGATCTGCCAAGTATACAGTCGATGGTTCAAGCCCTGGATAAACCGAAAAAGAACAAGGTAATAAAGTGAGAATTTGTGAGTGTGAGAGGAGTAGTGCGAGAGGGCGAATATGCCCTCGCCTTGGGCGAGGAGTAGACTGAGGGGGGTTCTCTTTCCCCCGGCTTTCCTGACTTTCAAAGCAAGCTTTCTTCAAACATTTAATTGTGTTAGGGGATAGTTGGGGGTATGTGAGGATAGGAAAAAGTAGGGATAGATAGGAGTAAATAGGAGGATAAATAGGGGTAAAGAGGTTTAAATGAGTACAAAAAGACTTAAACATTTTATATGCTGCCTTCTCACCTATACCCTTTTCCTTGCCCCGGGAGCCGATGCCTCCCGATGCCTCCCAATTACTAAGTCTTTTTGTACTCATATACCCCTCATTCACCCTACCTATCCCCTGATTTCCCTAAAGATTAACTTTGATTGGCAAAGATTAACAGAGTACAAACCTCCCCCGAGCAACATGCCTACCATTTTTTTCTTTTTTTTTTTTTTTTGCTTTCCACCGCCATGAGAAACGTCCCATACTGTTCTTGATACAACGATCTTGTACTTGATAGTCCACGACTTTACCACAAGGCTAACTGGTGATTGTTGGAAGCCTACGCCAACTTATTCACCAAAACCTTACCATGTTTGATTAATAACGAAAATTTTCATCTAAAACGAGATTCGAACCTTCGACTGTCGACACATGAGACTAACATCTTGACCACAACACTACAAGATCTTGTGCTGAACAGTTAAAGTTATTTAATTTACTTTATCCTTTTCGCGAAGAACATAATGAAAAACAGCGATACTTGGATTCGAACCATCGACTTACCATTTCATAAACCATTGCCTTCGCCACTAGACCACTGAATCTTGTGCTAAACGGTTAGGATTATTTAATTTACTTTATCCTTTCTTCGAAGGATATAATGAAAAACAGGTACACTCGGATTCGAACCACCGACTTACCACTTGGGAGACAATTGTCTTCACCACTAAACAGCTAGATCTTGTGTTGAACGGGTATGGGTTTTTAATTTACTTTATCCGTTTGACGAAGTTCATAGTGAAAAACGGTTAGGGTGGGATTCGAACCATCGATTTACCACTGGTCCTGGGAGACAAATGTCGTCGTTACCACACTACGAGGTTTTGTGCTGAACGGGTGTAGTTATTTAATTTGCTTTATCCTTTTCTCGAAGAACATAATGAAAAAGAGTTAAGCGTTGATTTGAACCATTGAGTTACCATTTGTGAGACCATTGTGTTCACCACTAGGCTACGAGATCTTGTGCTGAACGTCTAAAGTTAATTTACTTTATCCTTTTCGCTTAAGATATAATGAAAAACGGTTATGGTAGGATTCGAACCATCGATTTACCACTTGGGAGACGAATGTCGTCGGCAAAACACTACAAGGTTTGGTGTACGTTGAACGGGTATGGTTATTTAATTGGCTTATCCTTTTCTCGAAGGGCATAGTGAGAAGGGCTAAGTGTGTATTTGAATCATCCATTTACCACTTGTGATTCAAATGTCGTCGCCACTACACTACGAGGTTTTGTGCTGAACGGTTATTTAATTTGCTTATCCTTTTCTTGAAGAACATGATGATTTATTATCTTAATCATAGCGCACATACCTTTTTCTTATTGGTAGTTTTAGCCTAATGTCTACTATTTTTGTTGACGCTAAAATATCACAGGTATGGAGTCCCTTGAGCGAAGGAGGACTATCTTGCCATAAACTAGTTATATCTGGCCCAGGTGAAGCTAATTGTTACGGTGCGATTGTCTTGTATTTTCAATAAAGTCAAGTCTGATTTCATAGATCATTTTTAGGATTTTGACTTTGATAATTTTGATAATTTTTTTTGCCTACCCATGCCTGCCTAAAGTCTTTGTTTATGTTCATTTTCGATTCAATTCGGGATATGAAAAGTTCGACGTCTGAAACGGGCCAGAGAACTGTTGTACGAGTATTGATGATCAATTTGATGACCGTTATCATTAGGTGATGATACTTGGTCTAGGCAATATCACGCAGTTTACTTGCCCATCAAAACAAGACACCTCATAAACTTGAACAAAAACGATGAGACACGAGCAAGGCCCAAACTATTTTTCTTCCCTTTATTTAACCACTTCTACTACATTACCGTTTCATGTAATTTTGAAACAGATATCAATTATCAAACAGACATCAAATTAGTCCTTAAAATTTGGAGACAAAGGTTGAAAGAGGTTGAGCCCTGGTTTCGAATTAAAAAAATGCGTGACGTCTGAAACATGCCATTTCTACTTAACTTGTAGAATATACCTCAAACAAAAGTGTACAAAGTGTAACTATGCTCAGTCAGTATGCAATTAACTTAGCTATTCATGACAATGATTGTTCCAATTTGAGGAAAAACGTAATAAAAATGTCACTAAAACTGAGAAAAGTTATTGACAGGATTCCTGATGGGAAACCAGAAGGAAATAATCTTTACAGCATTTGTTACGAGCAGTATCGTAGTATCTGGTGCCACAACAATCGTGCCCAGCCCTCTCGTCATGAATTGCGCCACAGCAACAGACCTGAGTACCAGGATCGATAGCCTGCTGACCACACATGTTTCCTTCAAATAAAAGAAATATACATGCATTATACCATGATCAAAACATGGTGGCATGAATAATGTAGGGAATTTTATTGCTTTTGCAGTTGAACAAGTTAGAAAACAGACATGCATGCACTACCCTCTATACAATATCACAATAATAAATAAATAAAATAAAGGCATGACGCATCAGGCACGAGGTAAATCAAAAAGAGAAATGTTACACGTTTACTTATTTCAATGCACTTGGTAGCTTAACTTCTTCGATGAAAAAAAACAGAAAAAGCCCAATGAAGCGGCCACAAACAAAAAAGTTTCAAAGAATACTTCCTAACGGATACATCTTAACTCATACATGTTAAATCGCTCTTTCAATAATGAAAGTAACACTGCTAAACATTTGGGCAAAGAATATTTCTTTTAAGTAAACTAAGCTATAAGTAAAACAGATAATCTCATAACCATACCTCGCACAGCGATTGTTACGGGACAAACCACGTCAACACCACTCGCGAGTGTAAAGGTGTACTGAATGATGTGGTCACCGAAAGGGAATGCATGTGGTGATGTTATTTTTGGTTCGACAGATATCTGCGCCGTCTCTGATTTATTACCAGTTCTGCAGGAGTACTGAGGAGTTGGCCAAGACACGAGCACATTCGATTGCCCTGGTGCAATTCGCCGGGTTTTTGTTGTGGTCGAATTGCACTGACAGTCAACTTCAAAAAAAAGAAGAAAATATCAACATAAGTTTAGCAGTACCGTAAATTGACGGGTTTTATACCCTACGTTATAGGAAAACTAGTGGAAAGGCGACATTCTGAAACCGCATTTACCTTGCAATAGACCTTTTTTACAATGACATCGAACGCGGAAAGTCTGATGTTACACGAAGTTTGATTGGCTCGATAGTTTTGTGGAGCCAATCAAATTTCGTGTATATACATATAACATCAGACTTTCAGCGTTTGACGTCATTATTAGAACGGTCTATTTAACTATAAATTTGACGCTATCTCTTCGGATGGGTTCCATTCACAAACTTGTACAAGCTGACCGTCCAGTTCAGCCCTGTGCGGTTCAAACAGTCAGTTTGTCATCGGCACCGAATTATTTGTGTGGTCTAAAACCTCAAATAAACACGGTTGCTTCGAAAATGAAAACGTGGGTGATCAAAATACAGACGTCGTCGCTTAAAAACCCTACCAATATTCCCACACGTAGTTTGGATAAGCTTTGAGCGAATCGTGTCAATATCTTTGTAGTCTGTCTCGACGACATGTTCTTCTGACGTGGACATCCTGATAAGATTGGCTTTAAACCTGTCTCTCATCTCTGGACTGCCCACAGCGGCTCCGACAATCTCAATTCCCTTTGCTTTGATTCGACTCGCATTCGCGATCGTCTTTGCCAAAACGCCCTCCACTCCCCAGGGATTTCCATCCGTAATGATCACCACGACATCGTCTATGTCAGGCCTGTTGTTTCTTGGATTATTTTGGGTGAAAACCTAAGTTGAATTTCACAACTAAATTTATGTTCTTTGCAGGACAATAACCAAAGAAGTGATAAAATTCTTAAGCCGGGGAGGGAGGGGGGAGTTGGAAGACTAACAGAATCAGAAAACCAGACCCAAAGACGCCCCTTGGCCTTATGTCTGAATCGTTTCCTTTGTAAGCTTTCCTTTAAAAAAATTAAACTTTAAAAAAATTTGAATATGCAAAAAATATAAACTTTAAAGAAATTACAAAAGAAACATAAGTTTAGATGCATAACTTTTTGTATCTTATGTAGATAAAAATCATCTAATTCTACATGGTGTTGTAGACCTAAATTATATATTGTATCTATATAGATATGAATGAACCAAATATCTTGCTATTTTACTTATTTTGTGCGATTTTTTATTGACTTTGGTAAAGAATCTTTAATTGATGAATTCGTTAACTAAAAACAACTCTAGTACCCCATGCATGTTTAGCATTTATCATGCGATTATTACTCAGGCTATAATTACCTTGTCGTTTGCCAATTGAAATGCGATATCGGTTCTTGTGTAACCTCCTTTTATATCCGTCCAATTCAAGCGGTCAATAAATCCCGCCATTTCACCCGCATCGAAAATCTTTCCAAATTCCACCAGCACTTTAGTCTTCTTCTCTTCGCTGAACATCAAAAGCGCCACTTGCGTGCCATTACGGGAAACGTGGAGATTTTCATCAGTCACGAGATTCTTCAGGAAAGGTTTCATATCACTTTCGAAGTACGCCTCAACAGAATACGAAGTATCGAGGATAAGCAAGAGGTCTTTCATACACAGCATGCCTTAAACGAGAAAAAGAACAATAATGAGCATCTCGGTTCGTTTAAGGTGGCTAGCAATAGATTACAGTACAGGAGAGCATATTTTCCCTTTCAAACTTTGACACTGTCCTAATTGTCCAATATTTTAGGAGCCGGTTGTATGAAACTCTTTAACTACATTTTGCATAGTTAAATCGTAGTTAAGTCAGAAATACACTATTCTGATTGGCCAATTTTGTCGTTAACTATCCAGAAACACAAAGGCTAAAGTGTCAAAATTTTTCTTAATTAATCACAATTATCACCACAGCTGCATGTGCTACGTAGGAGAATTCTATACTGTCAAATGTTTTAAGGAAAATATTTACTTTCCCAAATACTATTCCTGTATCTCGCGAGCCACATATACCACTGGAGTCGGTTTCACACAAAGACAATTGTGGATTAAGTTAAGCACAGGATTTCTCTGAAGTGAACGAAAAAACCCAGATAACATCAGGAATTTCTTTTGGAAGAACTAGAACTGCACAGGAATTATTCTTGAACCAGTAAACCTGCTGTTGAGGTAAGGATGAAATTATGCAAAGCCAATTCCATTTTGTGGCCAATTTCTAGTTCCTTGTAACTTTTAAGTTGTAAATCTTTCTTCACATGTTTTACTGCCAAATAAAATTTTCATCTGGTGAGGCAGGGACCGCGGAGCAGGGTGGCTCGCTGGGCTTTAGCCCCACCAATAATTTTTCCGTAATTAGTCTTTAATTTCGAATATTTTTTAGTTCGCTCAAATTTACAAGCAATACAAGCGCCAAAATGCTGGAAACTTTACATAGGGCAAGCATTTGACCATTAAAACAACGTGGTTATCAATTTCAAAATATTTGACATCATAACCAAAGCATGGTTAAATTGTTTGGTGTTTGTATATGAGCGCCAAACATGCTGGAAACTTTACATTGGACAAGCATTTGACCATTAAAACAGCGTGGTTATCCATTTCAAAATATTTGACATCATAACCAAAGCATGGTTATATTGTTTAATGTTTGTATATGAGCGCCAAACATGCTGGAAACTTTACATTGGACAAGCATTTGACCATTAAAACAGCGTGGTTATCCATGTCAAAATATTTGACATCACAACCGGCAAAGCATGGTTATATTGTTTATTGTTTGTGTATGAGCGCCAAACATGTTGGGAACTTTACATAGGACAAGGATTTGACCATTAAAACAGCGTGGTTATCTATGTCAAAATATTTGACATCATAACCAAAACATGGTTATATTGTTTAATGTTTGTATATGAGCGCCAAACATGCTGGAAACTTTACATAGGACAAGCATTTGACCATTAAAACAGCGTGGTTATCCATTTTTAAAAATTTGACATCATAACCAAAGCATGGTTATATTGTTTAATGTTTGTATATGAGCGCCAAACATGCTGGAAACTTTACATTGGACAAGCATTTGACCATTAAAACAGCGTGGTTATCCATGTCAAAATATTTGACATCACAACCGGCAAAGCATGGTTATATTGTTTATTGTTTGTGTATGAGCGCCAAACATGTTGGGAACTTTACATAGGACAAGGATTTGACCATTAAAACAGCGTGGTTATCTATGTCAAAATATTTGACATCATAACCAAAACATGGTTATATTGTTTAATGTTTGTATATGAGCGCCAAACATGCTGGAAACTTTACATAGGACAAGCATTTGACCATTAAAACAGCGTGGTTATCCATTTTTAAAAATTTGACATCATAACCAAAGCATGGTTATATTGTTTAATGTTTGTTATGAACGCCAAACATGCTGGAAACTTTACATACTATCTATTATTTGCGGCGAAGGGCATTTGCGGCGATTTCAGAGACCTATATTTCAAAATTTTCCCGGACTCTCTTAGCAGGGGCGCGGTTCCGAGCCCCAGCAATACGAAAAACGCTCCGCGGTCCCTGTGAGGTAATCTTCGGATCCATCCATAATAATTCTTTTCCAGAAACATGTTATGAGGATGCGAAACATCGCAAACTGCCTGTACTAATATTCTTGCCATAATCTTGTTAACGTGTCCAAGTGTTTTGGAAGAAAAGGTGTGGATATGGGGTCCCCCTCCACAAAATGAAGATTTTTGCGGCGTAATTCTCATCGGCATATTTTGTTGCATTGACGGCAAAGACGATAAACTTATATTGCAAGTTTTTATTTATTATAGCAACACTTTCATCCCCCAGCTGTAGTGTAAGGTCTCAAAAATATCAAGTAGTTTACCTGTGGTTACGTCATTGAAGCGACGGGATGTTTCCTGATCAGAACCATCTAACGAGAATAGACAAAAAGGAATGTAATTTTTAAATTAAGGGATAGAGCTGACCTTACACAATATTCGTAAAATAACAGAACAAAATTAAATTACGACAATGGAGAATAGCTGAACCATATAAATGAATTACACCGTAATTTCAGGTTATTTTGTAAATTGTTTGAGGTATTATTCTTCCTGTATTGTCCTGCAAGCAAATAGGATTGTTTAATCCTAGAATAATTAAAGGGAACCCATTGCATTTTGAATGTAACTGGAATGTGAATCCACAATACTCGGAATGTAAAACATGATTGTTTCCCATCAATTTCACCTGTCATGAATAAACATGACATTCTATATACACTGATCAAAGTGAATATTAAAGCACACCCAATGCAAAAAATATGAAGTAATTCTGCTCATGCAGTCAACCCCATATAAATGTTAGCTATATTGACAATATAATGTTAGATACGCGTAATGTTTGTCTTGCATACTTAACGAAATGTAACAATTCAAAATGCAAACAAAGCGAATTCTTCACATTACGAGGGAACATATTATTCCGCTATAAATTGTTAAGAAGGCAAGCTGCAATAGTTTCAGTTCTAACTCACCACTGCTCGAAATACTTTATATTCATAAACTTCCGTGTCACGGTCCGTGCTTGGATAATTCGAACTTTATTATTATATATCGTATATATTCTGTATATTTTTTTATATTCTAGGCTGCAGTTTCGTCTTTGTACACTGGGCTGTAGAGAGTGTGGTTGTGGGTCATTTAAACTAAGATAAGAATACCATTTTCCATATAGCCGCATATACCATAAAATGAGGCATCTCATGGTTTGATCTCAGTATTTAGTTTTCAAACGATTTGAAAAAGTTGTAACCGAAAATAGTTCACTATAATTTATATAAAATTTCCAATCTTTTAGCGTTTCCTCAAGATGCGACATCCTAGTAAACAGTATCAGTTCTGCATGGGCTTGTAAAGCTGCGTTCATACATGCACAGCACTATACCTAAAAAATGAGAGCCAGTCATATAGTAATTCAGTATAAAGCAAAGGATTAAGATTTCCAAAAGAATACTGACATAATCCACTGTGTTTGCAGGTATAGTTGGTTCTGTACTTCGAATTGATAGTAATGATGCGAAACACAACGCGACTGTGTATAATAATAATATAAAACAATTCCGGCAGAAAGGACTCTTTTTGATTACTGTAGTAAGTGGGTATCTCAGTCAGGCCGTTGTTGTGTTCTATAACATTCATTGAGTATTTAAACTAAACAAAAGCACGAATTCTCCAACACGTTTGTTAAGAAGAATTACAAGTCAAGTGTGATAGACATAATTATTGACTTTATAGTTCTAGCGGCCAAGGCACTTAGACAGAAAGACTCCTGAAGCTTTAGAAATAAAACATGCAGAACCTCAGAGTGAGCCAATAAAATTAAAAATGACATACGAGTACAAAGTAAGGCGGTGGAAGACAGTTTGAGATTTTTAGGTGTGGTCTAGCAGCTGTATCTTATAAGGTGCACGAATTTACGGACTTACCCTTTGCTCCATTAAAACTATGCGCTGCCGGTGGAAACGGTCTTTGCGCTTGGATTCCCTGGAGAACTAATGCAACAACAGCCAATAGCTTTATCATGATTCAACGTGGTAGAACAAAACGACTTGCTTGTTATTTGTATGCAGCACAGCTTGTCAATTCGTGAAGACGATCAGCATAGCAACTGGTATACTTGTTCTCAATATTACCCCTTTTATGCACTAGCTGTTTATCAAATCTCAAGGGGCTTGACGGTTGCAATATTGCCTTCCGACCGTTAATTTTCGTCGATCAATGGATTTCATGACAAGGCGTAAGCCTTTGTAGAGAGGCGTGTTTGACAAGTCTAAGGAGGACGGCATACCAAGAACGTGATGCGCCCTAACGAGTGTGATTGTTTTCGCGATCAGTTAAGGCCCGTCAAGACAAGCCACGTGGGGCCTCTCATCCTTATCGAGGAGGCACTCGGAGTAGAAATTGTACTCATACCGAGAATATGGTTGTTCTCATCCCATTTTGAGGTAGAAATGATAAATATTGCACAAGTGAGATAGATTTGAAGTTCATTTAATTTCTAAGAAGCGGATATCTGTCTCCAAGACTTTAACGACAGCTCTTGCGTAAAATTCCTAAATTTGCTCACTGTCTCAACGCGAAAAGTAACATGCGATATATTAGCCACTTCGTAAAAGTACGTGTGGGTATCTTAAACGTGCAAATTCGGCTTCGTAAAGGAGGCGAATCGCATTAATAAGTCTACCTGAGTCTAGGTTTAAACCCGGCGTTTTCTTCCCAAGCAAAGAGTTTCAACTTTACGTTTTTAAATCAAACTTGTTACTGCATTAGAAAGCGGATTAAAATCAACTTAATGCTAGACCAATATTGTGCCGCACCCGTCGTTCAGAGTCGTTAACAGCATATAGCTCAGCGTTGCTACACTTGAATTTAGTCTTAGATGATTAAATTGTTCAATTATGTTAACAAATGTGAGAGATGATTGCAACACGCAACAATAGCAACTTGTTCTAACAACGCGCGCGAGATTAAATTTTTATTTCATACACAGTTCTTGTAGACTTAAATTAGAATTTTACTCTATGCTGATTTCGTAAACAATGAGGTTTTTCTTTTCGTTTTCAAGACACTTAATCAAATATTTACACTTGGAAAAGAACACTTGCCCGCTCGACCTGTTTTCGATATGAAAACAAGGGGCACGAGTTGTGTAGTTTTATTCGGGAATTTAGTAAATAGTGTATTGTATTGTTTTTAATGATCTACTCTTTAAGGCAGTTACAACTTCTACTGATCCTTTTACCAGAATATAAGTCATGCGGATCTTTGGCGGTTAGTTATATCTCTGCGAATCTTCAGTTCATATAAATGATAACGACTTGTCTTTAGTGACATATGCAAAGTCGCAAACGGTATATTAATTGAAGTACACAACTTCTGGGCCGACATCAACAATTGTACAATTTGAATCCGAAACAAATGAAGAAAATTTGGCGGTGTGTTCAACACATCGGTAGGTGTCGTGAATGAACATAATAAAGCGTTTATGTACCTGAATAGCTAACCCTAACCTAACCCTAACCGCACTAAATTTGGCTTAGACAACGGATATCCCTATAAAATAAAAAGGCATCGAGCTTGTACAATTGTCGACGTCGTCAACCTCAATTGAAGATTGAAGTGGTAATATACAAAGGCCCCGTTTACATTATATAGAGCAATTTGTTATATCCATTTGGCCGATCTCTGATAATAAATCATCCATTAAATTTCAATGATACAAAATTTTGTCCGCTCCCAAACCAATCCGGTGTAGCGCAAACAGGACTGTAGACGACGATTTGGCGGCGGCTTTCGCTTTCGGAGCAGATATATCGTATGTTACACATAGTAATCAAATCGGGCAGATATTCTAAAACTTGCAGTGATTTATAATATTCTTACAATTTTCTTGCCCATGATTTCGATAACATTACCGAAATTTTGTCAGTTCAGCTTATTCATTTTAACGCATTTTATCCAGATGAATAGAATAACCATATACTATATAAAACGGTTTATTCAGATCGTGCATGCAACGAGAGAAGTCGAGACGCCGCAAAAGCGAATAAAAGAAAATATTTCAATAACAACAAATCTTTAATTGTAAGATATTTACCTTCCACTTCAGATGCTCCGACTATATGACTCCCACCTGTTGAGCTATCCAAATAATGGCTCGAGTTAACGGTTGTAAAATTATTTCGCACAATATCGAGAATAACATTCTGTGATGAACTGGTGAGCCACAGTGGAACTCACTTTACTCGTACAAAACTTCACAGACATAAATGTGTTTTGGTCCGGATCAAATTTAGATCTTTTCAGTTACACGCGGAAGAGGTCTTGTTTGTTCATGATAATGCATTAATTAAAAAACGCCTCTCACGAATTGTTTTCCCGTATGAATGCGTATAGTGCTTTTGACATGAATTCAATTTCCATAGGTAATTAGTATATAGTTGTGGAAACCATATAAGCTTGCCCAATCATCACAGAACTATTCAAATCACTTATCGATAGAATTTCAATGCTCGCTCTAACACTGCCGAGCTAAATGAAAATATGCTTAAAGGTTCACTGGCATGAAATTGATTAATTTTGTTTACGCTTTCGTCTAAGGCTGCATGGTATATACTTTGCAGAGCCGAGCTAAGCAAATTCTATAAGGCCTAAGGTTATACGTTCCATTTTGTGCAATTCAAGCAATAGAAAATGAGATGATTTTGAATATGTGTGTAACTTATAGTTGCCATGCAGGACTGTGCCGAGGGGGGTATCTGGGTGTTGCACCCCATGCATAGGTTTGTTCCAATATTATCCAATTATTCGGAAAATTCAAGCTTATTTGGCTGAAACCGTTAAAAAACATGCATCTGGTCTTGTAATCTACCATTCGCAAACTAATTTTGTCAAATACGATAACATAGTTTTTGCCCTGGGACGATGTTGGGTGGAGAGTAGATGGGATTTCATTCCAGAAGTTTCATTATCGTTTAAAAGGGATGAATATCATGTCACTTCCGACTCTTAGCATCGTATTATATTGTAGCTATGTCAGTTATTTTTCATATTTGTTCCAGATTATATGCAAAACTTCGTTTCAACTGTCATATTTGTAGTTAGTTCTGATATTTAAGGGGGAAAGCCGCCATAGGCTGGTGTTGAATAGTTTGCACTTTTCTGTTTTGTCGAGGTTAGATTATTGCGCTTCTTTTAACACAGACAGCTTAGACATCTACAGTAAGGCGACAGGAAAAACGTTTTTGTGTCTTATACAAACATAACACCAGGTGGAGGTTGAAGAAACGAGCACCTGCAGCTGGTCATCGCACATCAATTAGCCATTGGCTAAACTTCCATTTATACTTTGGCTGTATTCTAAATGCAATTTTCGTCTTTCGACGTGCGGATATTCCAATAAGGGCACTTGTAAAATTAGAGCTTTCATTGTTATTCGCTCTTTCACATCTCTCAAAAGGAGAGAGTGTCGCAGAAAATCGTAGCAAAAATTGCAAGTGTAAACTGGCCTTAAAACTCATTCCATGCAACCAGTTGTTGTTGCTTTTAAAAGAATCTCAAAGGCAGGGGAGGTTCCAGCACTGGTGCACTAATTTGCAGTACAAAACAAAGTGGTTATTTTTAGTATTTTTCTAGCGACATGCAAATTAGTGCACTAGTGCTGGATCCACCCCTACTCAAAGCAGAATTGTTGATGTAACAGCCATATATAAAGCTATCGCTTTCAACAAACAAATATCACTTTCGTCGACGTTCAAAAGTCAGTTTAGGGCCTCCATGGGGCATGCGTGAAGCGCGTGGCATTTGGCAAGAACTCGCGAACCCCGAGATACAATAATCTTCGAAGCCCGTTGCCGTTGTCCAAAGTCGTTAGTGAGCTTAAGTGCATGGCGTTTAAGACAACACAAAGGATCGTGATTCGTAAAAAACAAAGACTTTACTTCCGGTGCTACTTACCGTATACGTGTGGTCAAAATCGTCACTTGCAAAGACTGCAGTATGAAGTTGCAAAGACCGTTTACCAGATGGAAAATAGCGGCGACAACAAACAAAATAATTTTGTCCAATACAGGGCAATAAAGAAAGAACTCTTCCAGTCTGTTTCAATGCAATATATTGCTTAAAGCCTTCTTATACGACAAAAATGTAGTATTGCTTTTATTTCTTGTGTACAAACATGGTGGCAAAAATGTTATATATGACAAAAAAAAGGAATACCATGGCATGCAATAATATAAGTGGATCTCTTCCTCGCAGGAATAGTAAATACATTTGAGTTTAATTGCATTTTTATATAAGAGATATAATATCATAGTACATTTTTATGTAAGTACCAGATGGGAATATCTGTTTATAATTATAAGATATACGCATATAATAAATAGTTGAAATAGAATTGAATATTTGCAACAGAATTGTAACAGTGAAGATGCATGCATAAATATCTTTTGATCAATGATAATTTCGACGAGTAAAATGGTGAATGGTATTATTTTGGGCACACTATATCGTTGATTTCTGATATAAAGAAGCAACATATAGCCCCGTTTACACTATACACACTCGATTTATTGGCACGGCACGGCTAAAATGGGTACCCGTGCCCATTTCATCCGTGCCCGGCCTTTGTTTTGGTAGTCTGAGCACTAATAAAATTGGGCACAGGTACCCATTTTAGCCGTACCGTGCCAATAAATCGAGTGTAATGTAAACGGGACTGTAATTCACAACTTTTGTTAGCAAACAATATACCGAAAGCTTGTTTTTCGCAACATGATGCATGATTGAATATCTGTTTACGTGCTAATTTTGGAAATGTTTACTCGCTAGGCGATTCGGTTCACACGAGTGTCACGCAAAATGCTTGTTCAGGTTTTTAAGCAAATTTTCATAGTAATGTCAGTGGCGTAGCGTAAATTTCGAGTTATTATAATTATTCATGTCTTTAGAAATCTATTATTTTCTCAGTCAGTGAACACTAAGATATGAGTAATGTTACGGTTTTATGAATATTTTAAGCGAAATATCATCCAAAGATGATATATCTGGTTCTCGTCACCGATAAACGTGTATTTATACTAACTTTGGCAGGCATTGTGTTGTATTTTACTGAGTAAAATGGTAAATTTCCGGGCTGAAATATATTTTAGCCTGCTGATCTAAGGCAATCAGAAAAATGCCTGAAGTGTTTACCCTTCGCCTTTAATAAAAGTTAATATAACAGTTATACAGTTGATGTTCTTGGGCATAAATGTGTTTTTGATCCTACCCATTGGCTTAATTAGAGTCGGGCCAAAAACACATTTATGCCCGCGAACATCGACTTTATTGTTATATTTGCTTTTAGTTTTACAAGCAAATCACAGCTGTCTATCGCATCATTTAAAGTGTTCCACCGGTGTTTTCATCAATTTCATCACTGTCACGTACGCTTGTCGGCCTTGTCCATTCTCCGTTAAGAACTGGCGAAATCAAGTGCAACTTCCCCACAATCTTCAAGAGATCCGTCAATTTTTTACGCGAGAAATCTTTCCTATTGTTGAAGATGGACAAGATTTTCTCAGCTTTGGAGCGGTTGTTAGCGTATATGACATTGTATCGTATGTCATCTCGTTCTTCTGCGGGTATACTCATTTCGCCCGCCAGTCGGTCCCAGTCAGCGGAAATTCGTTTGCTCAGCCTGAACATTTCACGAGACGACAGTCGTGTTTCAGTTTGTGGCTTGATGCTTTCGTTTGCATTAATTTCAGGCGGCGATGGTGGTGTTTCCACTTCCCCGGACCCATTGTGCTCTGATACTGATACTGGTGATGGTGTTTCCACTTCTTTAGTTTCATGCTAAAAAAAAGCTTCATTTATTGAAAAACATTTAATTTACGTTCTTTGCACATTAATTAGGGGAAACTTGCCTCAATCTTCAAATGTCAGGTATCGTTGTTCTTTATCTAATGAGAATATTTCCTATTATAATAAATATTGACCTCTACTCTTACTTTTTCGTTTCCGGGCAGCCGTATCTCGTTTTTCCAATCATTGCGTCCCAGCTCATCAAAATGCTCTGCCAAATTATTGCGGCTGAAATCCCCCTCATCATTATAAAACCTTAATATTTTTTCAGCTTTCTGAACAGAATTCGGGTAACTTGTATTATTGGATCTGATTTCTTCCCGTTTGGAATACGAGATATTCATGAGCCCAGCGAGGCTGTCCCATTCTACCCCAACCACATTGCTCAATCTATTTATCTCGTCATTCGATAATCTTGTGGTTCGGCGGATAACTACAAAATGTAAATGGTTTAACATGGAAATGGTTGCAGAAGTACCTTATAGTGTTTCTATGAAGTTAAGAAGTAGATTATAGACCTATTCCAAAAAGAGCAAGAGGCCTGTTACGAGTAACGCGGGGACGAGGCGAATCAGGTTTTCTGCTGTCAAAATCTCAAAATCATTTTTATATTTCTAAATTTTGACTGGAAAAACTTTGTTTTTAATTAGCTTGCAATAGGTCCAGCGAAAAAGTGAGAAAATTAAAAAATGACTTTTAATTCAGTACAGAAAATCTGATTAACCTCGTTTTCGCGTAACTTGAAGCAGGCCTCTTGCTCTTTTTCGAATAGGTCTATATTTCAACCTAAAACACTTTACATGTGTAACACGTGACCTACCTCGAGGTTCGGGACCTGGTTCAGCGGATTGTACTAAAAATGGTTGTGAGAATATTGGTAGAAAGAAACAAAGTAAATGATAGGGATAACGAATTAAACTAACGAGATAATTAAAGAGAATATAGACTAGCATATAGCGAGGCAGCATAACGAGAACAATTCAACTACAAACATGAAACAACAGCACCAAACAACACGACTAGAGAAACAGAACGCAGGAAAACGACAGGGGCCGGTTGTTCAAAAGCAGGTTAACTTAACTTTAGGTTAAAGCAAATCTTTATATTAATTTTTTTAATCGCTTGTGTACAAAGTTAAAATTTTTTTTCATAAATACTTTTGGGACCGATAGAATTCATATTTTCTAAAGTTTTAAAAGGAACAGTGGTTCAGAGGCACATAAACTAAAACAGTGGATTAAAATTTAATCCGGAGTTCGCACTAACTCAGCTTTGAATAACTGGCCCCAGGACACAGACAACACAACGTAAGAAAACTACACAGCAAAGAGTAGTAACACATATCATAAAAATTGTTTAAAATGGAAATGGCTTCAGAAGTTGCTTTGGATCATATATTTACGTATGTTGCAACCTAAAAAAACTTTATATGTGTGGCCTACCTTGAAGTTCGGAAACTGGTTCAGCGGATTGTACTAAAATGATTGAGAGAATATTAGTGGAAAGAAATGATGGCGTATACGAATTAAACTAATGAGATAATTAAAATAACAGCATAAACCACACAACAGCACAACACAACACAACACGATACAACACAACACAACACAGCACAACACAACACGACACGACACGACAAGACACGACACGACACGACACGACACGACACGACAGGACACGACACGACACGACACGACACGACACGACACGACACGACACGACACGACACGACACGACACGACACGACACAACACAACACGACACGACACGACACGACACAACACAACACAACACGAGACGAGACGACACGACACGGCACAACACAACACAACACAACACAACACGACACGACACGACACGACACGACACAACACAACACAACACAACACAACACAACACAACACGACACAACACGACACAACACGATACAAAACAAAACAGTGCAACACTCCATAACACAGTAGAAAAAATCATAACGCGACACACCATACTAGAACAACACATACTAAGCACAACACAACATAATTATAACACAGCAAAACACCCATACCATGCTACCCAATATTACATATAGTACACGGAGCAACACATCATACCACATGCAGTACAACGCAACATACACGACAGCGTGGACAGTAAGATACAGTAATAAGAGAAAATCAAAGATTCTTAAAAGAAAATAATTTCGAAATACCAACTACTTCTGTAGCTCTACACTCCTGTTCCTCCTCAAAAATATTCAACGTCCATAAAGAGTGAAGTTCTTCACATGGATAAACTGCACTAATATTTACATTTCCACTTGCGGGATATCTTATAGAACAACCCTTGAACTGATCAATTACAAAGCCATCCTTATCCAGTTGACACTGATTTACTTTGAATTGATATGCTCCAGATTGGAGTCCAGGGAAATCTGCAAGGCACATCTCGAGAGGCTGATCAGTGCAAAGACATTTCTCCATTCCTTTATCAAACTTAATGTAACCCTCTTCTTCATGATCTTTCAAGAGTTTGATTTTTTCTTTATTCTTATCAATAAACGAGCTAACCAGGACAACTGAGATATCTATTTTGTCCATTGGAGGTCGCCTGCGATAGTACGCGTAAGCATAACAGGGAAACGAGTGATTCAGATGGCTCAAGATTCTGCCGATCATATCAGATACTGCTGAAAAATAGCAGCAAAAAGAGAAACCGCTAATCTTCGCGTTCACTACATTCTCGGCCGTGTTCTCCTCGATTTCATTAGTCACCAGCTCCCAAACGACGTTCTGATTATCATCGTTGTGGGATCCGTGCAAAAGAAACATTTTGGAATCGGGGGTAGTTCTTTCGAATCTTATCGTAAGATCCGCTGGTTTCAAGAATTTCAAGCCATCTGGCAGGAATTCGATTACTTGTGGTTGGGTCTCGACAAGGCCCAAGTCTAGTAGAGATTCAAAGGCAGCAAAGTGATTATGTTTTATGAAAGAAATCTCCGTAGTCGCGGCAAGACATCCAGGCCAGATCGTAAGTGTGACGTCGTCGATGCAAATAGTATCCCCATCGGGGCCGACAGAAACAGCTGTGATAAGAATAAGATTTATTAGAATGATAATTGTATATCATCGAATTAGACAATAGAATAAAATTTTGTATTACTGTTTAATCATTATTAATTAAGCATGAGTCTTTTTAGCACGACTTTTGAATCAGGCCTTAGTCTGCTAAATAGAGACTAGAAATGGGTTTGATTCGGTTAGCTGAAAGCGAATACGATGTGAAAAGTAAGATCTTACTCTTTCTATGAAGCTCCTCTGGCTCTAGACCTGGTACCTGAACTCCGTTCATCAATGAATCGGGCTAAAAGAGTAACAATGCAAGTTGTACAATTTTTATAATACATAAATTATCTTCAATGATATAAAACATGTGATTTGTACCAGGGCCGAAACTAGAGCGATAATTGAGGGCTGAATATTGATTATATTCCGATCTATTTCGTATGAGTACAAAAGAAATCAGTTGGGTAGGACAGAACATATTAGAGAGGTTAAGATACCCCGGTTTCGGTACGGGTACGGGTAGCCATATTTTGTTCATTGGAATTTCTTGTTGTTTGCACGTTTCAAGATACAAAATTAATAAAGCTTACCTCAAGAGGCTAAATTCTACTAGAAAAGAATTGTCGAGTTAATCTTCGAAAATATTGAAAAAACACTGATGGAAGCTCATTGAACAAAATAAGGCTATCCGTACCCGTACACCGGGTCCGGGGTATCTTCACGACTTCACCTCTCTATTGATAATCACCCCTCCCCACATAGTTCCGCTCCTGATTCAACAAAGTCTGTTTTGCACTTCAATCGTCTACTGACTGTTCGAGAATCGTTAGTTCTCACTGAGGACCCAGGAAACAATAAGAATGTCTTATGCTTTTATTCTTAAATTCAAAATTTAACTAACAAATGTCTCGACCAGTTGGGCCTGACTTTCGAAAGTACACCCAATGAATTGGACATACCGCACTGTATCCCGATATAGTATCTGGTTCTTCTTCTAACTCGGCTATCGCATACTTGTTAGGTTTAAGATGCGGTTGCACCGGGACTGGAGTATACTGTGGTTTGCAAGGAGGTTGGTTTATATTTGTCTGAAATGAAATGCAAAGAAGATTTTAGCAATTCGGTGTCACACGTTGTTTTATGCAGGTGAACTATGTAAAACCTTTTTATGTTATTTAAAGGATCTTTAATTCCTAGAATCTTGTCGCAGATTTAGCAGTGGTAAGCTATTTTTCTATAAAGCATCTCATCATGAGGTATAGAGAGCTGTAGATGATCGGTAATGATAGATGATGCAACTCCTTACAATTGCAAGAATTCGGCTTCATATGTACCAAAACATACTTACTTTCAAAGACAACAGCTTCTTGTGACGTCGTTTGTAACGAAAAACAAGAAAGACAACGATAAATAAAACCGCAAAAGCAGACGCTACCGCACAACCAATAGCCAAAAAAATATTGAAGTGTTCTCCTTTGGTTTGGTCTAAAAAACGCAAAACAGATCAACGATACAGCAGGATTTCCAGCGAAACCGTCCATGTCCACGGAACGTGATAATCAGGAGTGGGAAATGAGAGTTTGGACGGCTCAACCCACACGAAGATTATTTCATTATAGGAGCTTACAGGTGACGAGCAAGATTCTTTTATAACCCTTTGAAAAGTTTCCAGAACTGGAACCCAATCTATTTTTAGTACAAAAATTTTCAATGCCATGCTAGCTCATGCATCGAAAATCACTGATCAAACAAATCAAAACCAGTGACCATCATGCCACATTTTTGCTCATTCCGCTATAGCAATGCTTTAAATAGCGATCAACGTTCGAAAATATGTTTGATCGATCATCATATGGGCCTACGCCCAGGAGGAAAAGGTTATAGTTGCCTGTTATTTCCTCCGTCCTGGTTTCCGTGGGGCTTGGCTGAACGCTGTTCCTTGAAGAGTTTCTGTCCGAGAATTCTATAAGAAACCAAAATTTCTGCAGGTAAGATACTGCAAGACAATAGTATTTATTTACTGGAAGCAGTCTGTTCTGAACATGATTTAGAACCACAAACTGCCATTTGGTCGCGAATTTGCGACTGCTTGGAAAATTCTTGACTTCTTTTCCGCCGCTTGAGATTAAAGAATTAGTTAAATATTATATATAAAATATTAGTAAATATTAGTATAGTTAGTATTATATTATATTATATAGTATATTATATTATATATATTTTATTAAGTGTAAAAACTGTTTCAGGAATCATCCATCGGCTCAATAGAGATGCTTTTTCAAAATCGTGAAAGGAAAAGCCACTCATATATAGCACAAATCTTGTTTAAATTTAACTGCCGTTTGAGCGCTATAAGAAGGCTTTGCCTTAGAAAAATCCCACGTCCGAACTCCGAACTTCCTCATTGCCATGTTTAACTGGTGGTTGTTATGCCAACTAAGATTACATAGCTTTTTAAGAACATTTGGTATCATACACATTAATATTAACATGCAAAGAGGTTATTGTAAGCTGATATTACCACATGACAAAATCGACAACCATTGGCGAGATAATTTTACAAATATACCACGACCGAATATATTATTAGTATTTTTGCACAAGTGAATATAACAAATCCTACATTCTGATTGGTCAAATTTGACGTATCATGCTGTTATATTCACCTTCTGGCGAATATAACAAATTTCAAAATGGCGGCTAGCTGTTTTGTGGACGTTTCTTACAAAGAGATAAGCGAACAAATGCAGTTCTTGTGTAAATTAAAAAATACTAAAACAATTATTCGCTTATTAAGACATTAATAATTGTTAAATATAATTTACCACTAGTATATATTCATTCGAACTTCAATCTCGATTATTTCTCAAATTTTCGATTTTATTGCGTTGACGCCTAGCTATATTTATATTTTTTATTACCATTATGCGCTATTGCAGCTGCTCCGGTGAACAGAAGGGCGAAGATAAATTGATTCGACATGATCCAGCTTTCAGTTGGTGGCTTCAACGATGTCCATTCTCAACAAAAAACCATAATAAAACCATTCCTTTCCACAATGATCTTAAATACTCTGGGTCGTTGAATATTGGCGCTGCAGTGTAAAAAAATATTCGTCAGCATAATTGTGAAAAAGGCTTTAGTAATATTGCACTAGTGGGGGTCGGAAATTCTAAAAATGTCATTAGCAGGGCGTTAGAATCAACTTTTACCACGAGAAATTCTGTAATTCTTCTCTTATCAATCGCAAGGACTTTGATTGATTGCATAGCGTATTAATCTAGTTCAATACTTTTAAAGGTTATCAATTTAGAACCATGCATGCAATATAGAACTTTTTCATAATGACGTCAAACCCGGAAAGTATGATGTTACACGAAGTTTTGAGGAGCCAATTAAATATTGTGTAAAATCAGACATTCCGCGCTTGACGCCATTATAAGAAAGGTCTATTGAACCGTTCTACAGTGTGTATCAAGGCCTAGTTTTTGAATTTCAAAGCATTATAATAGCATATACAATAATTATTACTGTATACTATTAGGCTGATTTAAAAGTGAATAATTATATAGCAATTTGTGATACTAATCATAACATTCAAAACTTTTCAAGTTAGATTGTTAACCAAATGAAAATTCCGCTAGCTGACATTTTTATTAAGGAAATATCAAAAAAAATCCCAGAGTAATATCAACATCACGTATTACTAATAAAACTTCAAATTATATTAAACACAAGACAAACATTTGTTAAATTGCATGTTAATTTTGAAGTCAAATCTTAAAATTTTATAGTGCTATATATGCCGTCCTAAGTATAGCTGGGTTTCAGTCACGTGACAGATTTAGCACTTGGTGATAAACTCCAGATGGAAAAAATATTTATCAAATCAAGTAAAATATTCATTGTAGGTTTTGACCCAATGTTGAGTAGATGTTATGTGCAATTTAACGAAATTTGCTCACTTCCACAATTAAGGCATAATTCGGCAATGTGTGTGAAGTTGACTACCAAGTGTTTAGTCCAACCTCGTACCCAGGGTCTTTTACCTACGCTCCTCGGACACGCTGCGGCGAAGACCCTGGTTGCGGCTGGTCACGTGAACCCCTAGAAATTGGGGGTAATTCGAATTGGCGCCTCTTTGCCTCTTAGGGAGGAGTGGTAGAGGGAATTGTTAAAAAGCCAGGAGATTGATCATCAGGTGTGAACCGAAAAAATCTCGGCACTTTGTTGGCCTTGTCGGTTTTGCTTTTATTTTATATGAAATATGTCACCGCACAAAAACTTTTCACACCTCTTTGCTTTAATGTGCGTCGTTGGAGGTATGTTTTGCACCTTGAATTCGGAGCGCATAGTTATAATCGAATACAGACTTAAAAAAACTTCAGTATCGGTTGCTCCCAAGCTATGGCACAGCGAAAGGAAACTCCAAAGAAACTTTATCCGAAATCTGACTTGTTGTCGGAGTGCAAGTGTCGCCTTTGTGCTGGCGTTTTCGATAAGAAGCACTGCAAAAATTTATTTCTAGTGCGAAATAAAAGCCTTCTTTGTGTCGCAGAATTTGTAAATGGTGGAACTCTTGCGAATGAGGACGGGCTTCCTAAACTTTTATGTCGGCCTTGCGAGAGAAGGCTTGACAATTTTGCCAAGTTTAGGAGAATAGTGACTGAAACCCAAAGTTCTTTGACATCGAAAAAGAGATGCATCAACGAATCATCGCCATCTGTAGCCATGAGCAGCATTAAGAGTTCGAGAACCAGTGAAGCAGATGGAAGTGTGGGCTCTCGCCGCAGCTTGTCTTTTGATACTGCAATTGATTCAACGCTACAAGAAATTGCCCCTTACCAGGTAAATCTTGTAAACAGTAAATTAAAATAGTTTACGGGTAGTACTATAATAATAAATTTCAGTCCTTAACATTATGCAAAATTGTTACATTTTGCTAGGACGCGTCATTCGATGAAATACTAAAAAGGATTAATGATGAATTGCGTGAAGTAGCTAGAAGAGAGACGAATTCAAAGCTTCGCAGCCGTCATTTTGAGGGATTGAGCACCTTTTCACCAGAGCAAATCATAGACGAGTTGCGCACGATATGCCCTGCGACTTACAGAATTTTAGCAGAAATGTTGGAACTCAATATTTCGGAAACGCGGATTGTTCCAATGACATTGATATACGGGGTGATTATGTTCAAAAGATGCCACGAGTTGAGTTATTTCCAGCGTATTAACAGTGTAATTCTGGCGGATAGTGGTGCGAATACCGAGGTAAACATGCACTGTGATATTATTTGTTCTTTTCCTTTAATTGTGGGTATTGAGTATAAGAGTTTTTTTTCAACTTCTCAAGACTGCCGGTTGATTCGGTGTAAAAAAGTATCTACAGGCCAAGGGAGGATAAACAATAAACAATAGCCTAGTTTCAGTTATAAGTCATATAACTCTATGGACTGCAAATGTTTATTCAGCTGTTTGAGATTTCTCATTAAATAAGCTTGATGTGTCATCCCCATCCGATCCCACTGTTACAAAGTTTTTGTCTTTTTTTTGAACTCGTTCCAATTATGATAAGTGCAAATTAACTTTGATTCCCAATTCCTTGCAATCGCCAGTAAGACGATTATGCCCTTTATCGATTACGTTTTTTTATATATATTCAGCAATAGGCAAAATATGAGATAGGTTAACATGTGCCTGATGCTTTTCAATATCAAAGGCTTTTATCTTCTCTGCATTCTCTGCGGCACGCATTAGACTTTGTACAGGAAGTTCTCCAGTGCAGATTGCAGATGTTAAAGGTCAAACAGAAGTCTGTTTGAGCATTGTTGCCTGTTAAATAAAATTTTTGTGATTTTTAAACATGAAATGATACAATACCTACAATATTTTTTAAGGTATATGAAAGGTTTAATAAGTATGGTATATGCCTCGAAAAGACAAAGAAATATACTATTCAAGATGAGATTGGCACACACTTTCTTGACAAAGTGGTTGAAGAAGTGAAGGCTGGGAAAACTTTCTCCTTTGTACTTGATAACATTGACTGGGAGGAAAAGGTCCATGATATGCGATCTGATCATCAAAACAAAAGTGTGCATGCTGTTGCAACATCTGTAGTTTTTGATCGCATATCATCAAGCCATTTGCAAGATGAAGAGCCCCAGCAGTCGTTAGCTCATACTGACATAGCCAAGTTGGTTGGTCTAAGAGATGATGACCTGGCAAAGCAACGCCAAGCATACAAAATGATAGCGGCAAAAATCATGTGTGAGAACATCCCTGCATTTGACTTTATAAAGGATTTGGTAAACAGCACTGACCAGTCTTCCATGCATGGTGACCAAATGAAAGCTAAATCAATTGTTGTGCCATTTCCAGTTCTTTTAAAGGATGAAAAGAAATATGGCGAGATTGTCGATGTTCTGGATCAGCTTGAAACATGGGTCCATAAGATTTTTGCTAAAGCTGGACACATTCCAGATAGTGACACATACAATGACTGCAGTCAGTCTCATTCTGAAGATGAACAACACCTACTCCTGCCTGCAACTACTTCTAGACCAGATCAACCATTGTCACATGTACAACCTGCGGCTGACCCTAATGACCCTTTGGCAACAGTTAGAGTACCCTGTTATGGTGATCAACTCACTAGAGTACGCCTGGCTGGTGCAAAAGATTTAAGAGCTGGATGTCATACAGCACGAGATCGACTGGATCATATTCATCCAATAAAGGTTGCTGATTGGCACTGTAAAAGAAGTTTTTTGAAGGTACAAATTGTGTCATGATAAAATGGCACCCAGTATATAATAACTGCATAACCCACATCCACCCCATCATTACTAAAAAAATGCCTAAATCAAAACAACCAAAAGCTTTTTATTCTTTAACACCTGTTGGACATAGGTGAACCCCTACTCCTTAATCTAGCTATTACTTCCAAAATACTTCCTCAACATATTATCTCCCTAATCTTCTAAATTAGAATACATCCCCTACCAAGATCCTAAAAAGTTACTAAGCTCACACTTAAATTCTTTTTAGGGTCTCTTCTTCCACATAGTTTTTCTACTAAAACTATTATTTCATGATTAATCATTAATGACTCATTTTTTATTGTTTATTTTTTAGCTTATTTTTAAGATGCTATATAAAAATTCTACACGAGCAAGGGGTACACTGAGGTATTTCAGAGAGAAATTACAACGCAGAAATGTTACCCAGGATATTAAGCATTATGAGGATTGTGAACAATTATTTCTCACGGTCGGCAGGGCATACACCATTGTAGCATTGCTACAATTTTTTGGAATGGATGATATCAATGACTCTCCACAAATCCATATTCCACCACATGATGTACTGCATGGTGATGGGGAAAAACAACAGTACTTTGATGATGTTCTGGATAAGTTTGTGGATGAGTACTTGTTTCCAGCTCAAAATAACTCTGAGTCGGGTGAGGAGTCAGAAGATGAGGACCACATTGATAGGGTAAGGGAATATTCATTATGCCTTTTAAGATTATTTTTTACCCTTCAATGTGTTAAAGAAGCAGTGAAATTGGGGGACGGTGATTGGCTTGCATCTCTACGAAAGGTGCTTTTGAAACATTTTAAAAGTAACGCAGGTCATAACACTTATGCCATTGAGATGCTAATCAGCATCTTGCAGGATGAAGTGTTTCTGACAAAGAGACAGGCTTATCAAACTCGTTGGGCTTCTACTGTTAACTGGAAAGGTGGTGCAGCAAACAATATTGAAATTGATCTTCTTCAAGAAAACCTCAATCGAGAATTGAAAAAAGGTATTAAAGGAATGGGAGCTAATAAAACACCCCAGGCAATTGAACGGTTAAGTAGAGCTGCTGGGGGCACTGCTGAAATCATCAGCAACTTTGACCATGCTGTAGGGATCAAGAAGAAGGCATCATCTCACAAGCACAAGTCTTCTGAGAAGGATGAAAAGATTATTCTTTCTGATCTCTTAGAATTGAAACCATTTGAGAATATTGGTGATCGTTCTCATGATGGTTTTTCAGATATATCTTCAGATCCATTAGCAAAATTAGACAATGCTGCCTTTTATGATTGGCTAAATAAACACAAAAGGAACATTACAAAGCACGGACCAGTAGACACATCAGATGATGAAGAATTATAAATATTGTTTATGCAAACAAACTGAAACAGCAGTAATTTAAATAAGACTATAGCACTGAATGATTAACTAGAATATTATAGTATGGAAATATTAACTTTTTGGCCACTGCATAGAATTTTCCAAACCAAACCAAAAGAGCCTTAAGCACATGAGTTAGTGTGCAAATCTTTAACATATTACCTCTTCAGAAAAAAGTCCTTAAGTCGAAACACCAGGTTTTTTGTATATCCATATACACAAAAAACCTGGTGTTTCGACTTAAGGACTGCCTTATTAGTTATAATATAACAATTAAACTATTTAAGATTATTCAGAGACGTTTGTTAAAAAGATTGGTGCAGGAAACTTTAATTGAAATGGCTGTATGGTTACTATGATTATTATATACATCAAAATTTACATTTATTTGTACATATACTGTACTAGTATTAGCAGGTTTATTAAACAGCTAAACCACACTCAATACATAAGCATTGTGTTTTGCAAACACTGCAGCATGAATGTTTTGGTGAAACTGCTTCAGGCTGGCTAATGTCAAGAAATTGCAGCAGTAGAGTACGCAAGCACTGATCATCGCTGAGGCAATACATTCGTACTTCATCCTGGAATCCTGGTTTGTTCTTAGCAATGTCTCTGTTATTGTAATACAGTATGGCTTTTGAAGGTTTTCCATCTCGACCTGCTCTGCCAGTTTCTTGGAGATATTCTCTAATGGTTCTTGGTGGCCCAATATGTATAATTTGCCTAATTGAGGGAATGTCCACCCCCATTCCAAAGGCAACTGTAGCTAAAACCACCCTTATTTTTGATGACTGCAGACTCAATTGTTCTAAAATTTCTTGTTTCATCTTGGCTGTCTGTGGAGCATGAAATTGTCCAAATAGTCTGTTTTTTGGTAGGGCTAGGGAATCTGCTGGATAATATTGGTTTATACCAAGTATGGTTTCAAATAGTCGGTATACAAACCCACACCATCGAAGTGGCATAATATAATAGTCAACGGGAAATCGATTTTCATATGTAGCAAATCGACTGCAATTGGTCTGCAAATGTGCTCAAATGCATCAATATCTTGTCCATATCTGAATGTCTTTTCATAGAAGATGTTTTTTCTGTTGGGGTTTGCAATCAATTCAAAACAACTATGCAGGCCAAGTGATTCCTTAATCTGCCTTCGGTCACTTTTATTTGCTGTAGCCGTCATAGCCAGAAGTGGTACTTTTGGAAAGACAGCACACAACACACTTAGCTTTGCATAATCTTGTCTGAAATCATCTCCCCTAAAAAAATTCACATAACATAGTTTTAATGACGAAATATGATCGTTTGTGATACATTATATGATACAACCATTAAGGGAGAATAAATTTAGATTTCAATATAGACCATATAAAGTATAGTTAAGATGGCCTAAAAACTGAATTCAGGACATCGTATAGGAATATTTAAATGTATATAAATATATATGACAAACAATAATAAATACCATTCAAGAATGCAGTGGGCTTCATCGATTACAATAGCGCAAACATGTTTTTGGTATATAGCGCTGTTCACTAGTTCTTTTCCAAACTTGCTTGATATTAGCGCTTCAGGATGAGCAAACAACAAATTATAATATCCTTTGATCAGCTTCGTTTTTTGTTCAAGTTCAGTTACATCACAATCGATTTCATCGTCAATATTTTGTTGTGGCTGAATATTTATCGCCGATGCTCTAAGTCCTATCGCACATAACTTTCGAACTTGATCGTTTATTAAAGCGTTCAATGGAGATATCACAAGCAGCACAGAGGTCACTTCATCCGTACAAAGTTGCTGATTTGTACGTTCTTCCAATGCTCTTTTAGCGAACAGCATCAAAGGCAAAAGCTGGTAAATTAAGGACTTGCCATAACCGGTTGGTAGAATTGCCAATATATCCACGCCAAGGAACAGCTTTTCCAAACAAATAACCTGCTTAGGTTTCAAAATAGCGTTCGAATACAGACTATTCAAAACAGAAAACTGCAGACAAATAAAAAAAAACATACAATTCGAATCTTTTCGCATGGCTCTCCTATTTTATAAAAATTCACTCGTGTCGCTTGTGTCGCTCCTCGCAAACAAAATTTTCACCGGAAGTTGTTTTACAACATATCGTATTTCAACCACCCACCCTCGGGACCTCCTGTTGCGCCAATTTCTAGGGGTTCACGTGACCAGCCGCAACCAACACCGCGGAAAAACGTCTGCGCACGCGTCAACTCTGCCTGTAAGTGAGATTAAAAATAATTAAAAAGCGGTTCCGAACGTTTCCGAAGGCTAAAAATGGCGGTAAAAAGGAGTGATTTCATTCGTGTCTTCAAATCCATATTTCGAGGACATAAATAAACACTGCATTATAGAAACTAAGAGAAAAAACGTCCAGAGAGTCCTAGAAGTGGCATCCTACAAAAACACCTGTAAAAGGTGACTGTTAACAAATTTTTCGTCTCAAACATTTTGTTTATCAAATAAGCAACGACAGTTTCCGAACTTTTAATTTAGACACGTTTTATTAAAAAAAAATATGTCGCCAGATACGAGACGTTTGCCGTGTTCTCAATAATTGAAAATTAAGATGTATTTTACAATTTAAATAGATTAGAAAGCTTAACTTTCCGCGTGTTTTCTTAACTTTTAGGTTTAAACTTTTGTTTTCGAAAAATATTCTAAAACCACCCCGTAAAAAAAGGAAAATTTACCGTGAATTCCAGTTCGTTCGATACTCTAAATGCTAGAAGACTTTTAATTTATGTTCTGTCTGGCCGTCTTGTATACTTGTGCCTTTTCCTAACTTATATTTTATCAAATAATGGGCATGTTTTGTTCCAAAAGTTGAGATTTAGATTTACCATCATATTTTGATATTTCGGCGCGTGCGCAGACGTTTTTCCGCGGTGTTGCCGCAACCAGGGTCTTCGCCGCAGCGTGTCCGAGGAGCGTAGGTAAAAGACCCTGGGTACGAGGTTGGTGTTTAGTCTTGAGTGAAACCCACCTACGCAATATGTAAAGACGTATGTTAATATGATGGGAGAAAGCTCGTGATCGCTGATTTAAGACCCAAAGCTATGTTCTGGCGACTATTACGTTTCGTGAGTGGGGATATATGTGGTTGCAAGATAAAGCATTAAACGCTTTACTGAAATATTGACAAAGAACAAAGACAATTTAGAGAACTGCAGGAAGCAAATATCGCTTCTACCCACGCATACCTACCCACGCATACGTGGACTGAGCATTCGTTAATATATATGCGTTTGATATTTAAAAAGAAATGCCTTAAGCTTGTCCTCGTGCAAATATACTATAAATATGGCATTGATAGTCTCAAAACTGAATTATGATTGATGACGATACAGTGTATTTCCGCGAGTATGACGTCTGAAATTCAAACTGCATATATAATAATGATTATATATACTAAAATAATAAAGAATTGAATTGATTTGCCAAGCAACTGACAAAATTTTTAAACTTAATAATTATAATTCGCCATTTCAAACTGGAGAATTGTATCTTAAGGATAAATATGTTATTACAAGAAAATAGTGGAACCCATCGACTCCTTGTACATGATATTATATTGAGTATGCTGATTGCTGTCGTGATACAAATTCACGATTGCGTGACTCGTACGAAAATCCCCAACTCTTCGCGTTAGTTATAAGAATTTAAAAACGTTTGACCGAGATTGGTTAGTCGCCTGTAGTCATCAAAGTATAATGTCAATTCGAGCGATTAAATGAAAATAACATTGCTCAGCCGATAAATTCGGTAAATAATAAATTCTTGATGCGAATGCCTTTATGTTTGTTGTGAACAAACCGTTCGACTCATTCTCGTATAAACAGATGCATTTCGAGAAAAAAAAAACTATCTTCCAAGGCTCTAAAGTATATTCAATTTCAAACCACCGATAAGCCTGAGCCTCTGAATTATCGTACTAGCTGAAGCAATGTTTGAAAGCGAGTTTGAAAGTATTTTATTGTGGAACTATATCTGGTAGCTATATATATAGGCGCGATTATAAGTAAACATCTTTAAGACTAAGATGACAAGATTGAATTATTATTACATTAGTCAGAGCAGAGTTTCTAATGCTTCATATACTTATGTTTGAAATTGAATTTTACTGATAGGAATAAGATCTTATAAAAAATAGAACTAAAGTTTGAGTATAGCCCTGTATATTGGAAAATGATCCGCATTGTTTAAAGCATATTATATGGCTGTAAGTGCCGCCGTATGAATCTTAGGGTATATACAAGAATATTAACCTTGGCGACAAGCATTAAATAAGAAATACAACATACCTCTATCCAAAAGGGAAATAACGCCAGGACATCATGTATATCAAATTGAAATGATTGAACTTTGTGGATTGGCAGTTTCCTAACTTTCCCCGCGGTTTCATAAATACAACTATACAATCTGTAACGATATATAAATTGTCAATGACCGCATTCAGCTTCCGGGAAATGCCCGGAATAAATATATTCTTAACTCTTACATTAAAATTCATGAGAAAAACGGAAGGAAAATCAGACGGAAAGACGTATACCATGTTTGGAAAGACATTTATAAAAAGGTATATTATATATATATAGCCTTTTTGGCGATAATAAATATTTGGGATTTTTTTGGTAATTTTTATCCAAGCACTAGAGACGTATAACGTAGACGTAGTATTTGCAGTTTTTAGGGCGAATATAATCGGTATAAAGTTGGTTTAAAAATCCACACAGATTTACTTTAGTTTAAAAATTGTGTTTAGGTGTGCTTGCGGTCAAAGACTGCATGTTGAAGAATTACAGTATATACAGTTGAAATTCGTCGCATACGCAGTGGTTAAAGAGAATGCTGCTCTAATTTAGCACGATACAATCTCACACCGCCACATCGATACCACAATTCTTCTCGAAATAGGACTCCAACTTCTTCACAGTTGGACTCCAGCGCTTAGTTTATGTGTTGACTAAAAGCCAGGCTCTATTGGTTTTGATTTTAGGCATTTTTTTACACCTGAGGTAACAATAGTCTTTATGATATGGTATAGTTTGTAAAACTGAACTATAACTCATTGATCTAAAACAAACGCTTTCATGGATTCTATCGCAGTGGCAATTAGATTACCAGGTTGCCGAAATTTTACTTAAACTATATATAGCAGCAGGAATTCAACTATGTCGACGCTCCAACACAAACGTATCAAAAACCATGACCAGCCGACAATTTAAAAAAGTAAAGTAAAAATAAATTCCGAACAAACAAGACATCTTGAGAATCAAAATATAATTCAAACAAGACACAGATTGAGACTGTAAATTTTCGACTTTATTACAAAGTCATCTTCAGACAGAATGAAATACAATACTTTACAACGCATATACATATACAACACAGAGAGAGAGCGCACGTGTCAATCCAGCATGTAGGCGGAAGGCCAGTAAACCAAGCAGAGCGAAACATGATAAGGTAGTGAATAAATCTAAATATGTATGCCATATTTAAAACAATATGTTAGATAGATTAATTTAAGGAAAGAAAGACCCGACAATTAAAATATAGAGAGATTAAGTGAACAGTTGTAGTTCTTTGCTGGCTTTAAGTCCAGTGTTAAAGAAAGGTTTAATTGTTGTGTTTGATTAAGAGTGCTTCAAGAAAGGCGAGAATATGATAGTTATTCGATTTAGTTATGCGAAGAATTCTATGGTTATTGAAAACTAAGTTTTCAATAGGAGAAGGGTTATTCAAAGATAATGGTATATCGTTGAGTAGTGAGAACTGGTTTAATAATGTGGCTAAGAATTGAGCATGCTCGCACTTAGAGAAATGTTGGCCTACTGCACTAGAAGAGAGCCTAGTAGAATGCTCTTTCAAACGTACAGGCTCTACTAGGCTCTCTTCTAGTGCAGTAGGCCAAAATTTCTCTCAGTGTGAGCATGCTCAATTCTTAGCCACACTACCAAACCAGTTCTCACTAGTTACTCAACGATATACCATTATCTTTGAATAACCCTTCTCCTATTGAAAACTTAGTTATCAATAACTATAGAATTCTTTACATGACTAAATCGAATAACTATCATATTCTCGCCTTTCTTGAAGCACTCTTAATCAAACACAACAATTAAACCTTTCCTGACACTGGACTGAAACTCTGAAAGCCAGCAAAGAACTACAACTGTTCATTTAATCTCTCTATATTTTAATTGTCGGGTCTTTCTTTCCTTAAATTAATCTATCTAACATATTGTTGTAAATATAGCATACATATTTAGTTTTATTCACAACCTTATCATGCTTCGCTCTGCTTGGTTTACCGGCCTTCCGCCTACATGCTGGATTGACACGTGCGCTCTCTCTCTGTGTTGTATATATATGCGTTGTAAAGTATTGTATTTCACTCTGTCTGAAGATGACTTTGTAATAAAGTCGAAAATTTACAGTCTCAATCTGTGTCTTGTTTGAATTATATTTTGATTCTCAAGATGACTTGTTTGTTCGGAATTTGCTTTTTACTTTACAAACGTATCAATTGTGCTACAAAAATCCGAAGTTAGAAAGGCCGATATTGCAAGTCGTTTCGCGCCGTTATTTTGAAAGTGATATTCCGTTTTGTGTTATTTTGAAATACATTTAACCATATTAGAGGGAAATTTACATAACAGAATAACATCAACTGCAGTTAAAACGGTTCTTTGAAAATAATAATGTTGCATTTCCGCTTTACGTTGCAGCTGCCCTGAGTGCTCTCTTACCGTCGAGAAGCCAAGGAAATGACTCATCCACGAAGGTGTCATCCATCAGAACAACGACTCTCCCTTAGCAGCGTCGAGGAAAACTTTTTAACCTCAAGTCGTTCAGGCTTTCGCATAATGAGTTTCTTTTGCAATGAAGTTTTTGTTGTAATTTGAATGCATGATCAACGCAGTAGGGTGTTGAATAATACATTTATTAGGTTGAAGCATTCAAATAAAGCGTCTTGCATTTAATTGAGTTTATTATAATAGTTAGGCAATCAGATTCTAACAAACGCTTGATTTCAAAAGACGGGATTATATTTTGGGACGTACACCCTGCAGATCACGGCCACAATTAACCAAGAGTTCAAACCAGTCTCCATCGATTAACCGCGAAGTGAGTGACCAAGATGGTCATGATTCATCTTAATCGCGCCTTTGTTCCCGACTCTTTGGAGCAGTGGGGCACACAGATTTAATATTTGGACAATATGAAAACACCAAGTGGCCGTTTCTATTTACATAGTACGACAGGCCAAAGTTATGTAAGGTCGAGCTTGATAACGACATCGTAACGGTCTCAATTGTCCTAATTAGTCGATACTCTTCACCTTGCACGTATACTTTTCACCTTGCACGTATAACGTTAAAGAAAAAAGAATTGTACGACTGCCAGGATCATGTCATCTGCTCATTTTAATACCTCAAAATCATCTCACACTTCGTTGAATCTCGAGTAACCGGGCTCATGTAAACAACCCCTTAATCATGGTTCGACGCGCGTTCGTGGTTTTTTATATTTGAGTCAGGTCTTAACGTTTTCGTAACTATAGAGATGTTTGAATCGATAAAAAAGGCCACAAATTGCTTCTATAGCAGTAAATTCGCAACCTAAAAGTAGCATATAATTTTATAGTTTAACGTCTGCCGTTGTTCAGGAATTCTTAAGTATCAAGGTGAAGTGGTTAGTTGACTGTTAAAGGATTTTAATTACATCCATTTAGATCACGTATATTCAAAGTCTTGCCAGCCTTTTAAAGTATTACAAGTTTTGACCTCAGCTTTACGCTATAGCTAAATAGCTATATTGATTTCCCTTTGATAATAATCAATCATCGTCTCGGGCTTCAGGCAGCTGCTGCCATGCATGTAAACAGCTCGTAAGTTGCCTATAGTTAACCCTATATCGTATTCTACTATCATATACACATAGCTTGCATACGTCAGCCCACAACAAGAAACGTGCCGTACAACATGCTTTAGGGCTATCATATATATGATATGTCCTTTTGTCCTTTGGAAATTGCAAATACTTCGCATAACCGTTGGCTTATCGTTTATAAAGGATAATAGGCATAATATAAAAATTGAGATTTTTCTATCGTCTATCTTTCGTTCTTTATATATATTGTCAAACCATGCACACAGCATTCACAGTAATCTATATCCGAAAGGTAAATGAAAGAAAATTATTCTGCTTGGGTTATCTGAAATTTTGCTTGTTGTTCCTCTTGATCGAATAAGCAACTTCAGGATTCTGAATACCTTCTGTTAGTACATTAGTACAATAGTACATTAGTTCGTTAGTACAGTATTTACAGTATTTTTGCGCGTGTAGATGAGCATGAATCTCCATTATAATTGGAAATCGAACTGAAAAATAAACTGCATATTCGCAGCCTTGCTCCAGTAAGCTGGCCCATATTGTTATATTCCTATGTACCCTTTCCTTTTGAAAACATTCTATTTGAAAAATTAAAATATTTATTGCTCGAAAAAAATAATAACGGCTACTCACACGATTGTGCAGGCCTATGCTTCAGTTCAAGTGCTTCTTGCATATCAATTGCAAAACCGTGATCTGTCAACGGAAAATAACGATGAAATTTTAACGGTCTTTAACTTCATTTGAGACCTTGCCGACAGCATAAAAACCAAGAAATTGCAGCGGTTTGCCATTCAACGAGAGAAGCGCCTGAAGAAGAGTTCTCCTTGAAGACTGAAGAAGAGAAGACTTGAAGTGACTGAAACATTGAAGACTGAATGTTGATGATGAAGTTACAGTGGTTGATAGTATTGACGCTGCTTGTTCACAATGCCTGGGCTTACAGTCTGTATGACGAGTTTGATGGTATGTGATATCACATGATTTCATGTTATGTTATGTTAACAATGTTTTTTTAAAATTAAAATATTTCATGAAAAAATTTTGATAATAAAAGAATGTAAGAATAGTAAACAATCAACGAATGTTTGAAAACCCAAAACAGTCCATTACAGTCTTCTTCATCCGTACAGGAATCAGGTGACAAAAGAATGATCCCATGCAGCCCTATTTAAAATTTCTTCTTCGCAAAATGCAGAATTCTAGTTCCCATGAAAAGTTTTATTGAGACACAATTCACATTCACGGGTTTATAATTGTACTCCTCCTTATTAAACCAATAAGGACGTGCCGTCAAGAAACACTGAACGCGCGAATGTGTGCGATTTCTTTCCTTCTAAACAGATTCCAGAGAATTGCGTCGCAAGCTTCCATCTGAGGAAACCGACAAGATTGATAAAGGTATATGATAAATTACGCTTTAATTGTGGTAGCAATTACTGGAAAGTGCTGGGTGGGATTTATCCAAGGGTAGAGGTTATACCCTTGTGTAGTGGGGCGAGACAGCCAAAGAGCAC